GGTTTATCTCTCTATCCTACTCATTTCTATACGAAAATGTTAACTATGAAACGACAGACTCGATACTTCTTTCAACGTTATAGTAATTCTCTTAGTTATGCCCTCTTCATTGACGTTAATTTACACTTTCGTTCTTTTCATCTATGACCTACTTAATACTAGGTAAGACTGCGTAAGACTGCATTTAAATTTGAAACTACTGGTTCGATTAATTTCAAAAAGGTTACATAGAAAATAGACAGAAGAAAATAATTAAAAATATTAGACCATTTATGGAAAATCGTTTCTACACTTCTATCATTTCCAACTATCCTGCTTTATTGCTTCATCAGAGTTACAATTTTTTTGCGAATACTACTTGAAACAATTAAAAATAAATGCAACTACTGAGTATATTACATAATTTACTTTAAAAAAATTTCTTTATGTTCTTCATCATGATTATATGAATATATTTGTATTTTATTATTGAAAATGTAAATATTTGTTGAAACTCACTTCATCTAATGAAATTAGTTTGGTATTTATTATTAATTAATATTAGAACACCATGTGTTTTGATCATAATTGCACATTATCGTTTTTATTATTTGGATGAAAAGGAGCACATTACTTATTGAATCTTTTCAGGATTTATTGCATCCTACATGTAACAAAAATTACATGCAAGTTATAACTATGTGTATGTGCCACGGACATTTTTCTTTACTTGATTATACATATTTAAAATCAAATTGAACTTACCAACTGTTTTTCCATCGAGGCTCTTATTGTATTGATACGACACCTGTTTGTAGGCAATCGTTTTGCTCTGGCCAGGTTGCACCTAAATAAAAAAAAATATTTTTCATGTAAATGCGTATCGTTGAAATCTGATCGTGACATTTTCAATCAGTATTACTATTCTTCCACCATCATTCTCCACGATAATGCCATTCGTATACATTGTACAAGAACAATATAAATAGTCAATGAGTCTTTCATGAATGATAACATCGAATAAATTGCTATTCACGTTGATTCGCGCACGTATGTGGGTTGAACCACTCATCAATCACATTACATTTGTGTTAAAATTTAACTGTTAGATGATAGAACATGTTACATGAGGCACGCAATTTGCCATTCGACACGATATATGATCAATTAAATACTTAAGCAAACTGTTTAATCACTTGCGCTCCTTTGAAATATATAAAACATAGCGTTAGAAAGTAATTGTTCTCCCACTTGAAAATCCCTTCATCTGAATAATTTAAGCCTTTTTATTGCACGAGTAATCATATAAATCTCATTACTGGGCTACGGTTCTTTCTGGAAAATAAAAATTTTTACCATAGTTACAACAAACAGGAGTTGCGTCAAATTCGCAGTTATTGCATTAAGATCACAAACTTTTAAAATCTGGAGACTGCGCGCGCGCAATTCGAAATAAAATTGCCTGAGATAAATGATAAGGGACCACGTTGAAATTATCCTAAACTAAAGAGTAAAAAGAAATTTGTTTAAATTATTATAATTAGACTGCGGATTTTATGCATTTATAATAAAAATGGATAGAAACGATGAACATATTACAAGAATTGAAGGACTTTTATGTGTTGTTTTCAATTTACTGAAGTCGTTAACGAAAGAAAGAAATTTCTGGTAGACTTATGCTAGTTGTAATCGATGAAGATAATTCTTATTTTAAATAAAGATTTGCAGTCTATTTATAATCTATTGAATATTCTTTGGAATGTTTAGTACTCATTAGTTAATTCATTATCACGTAAAGTAGTGTGCGTGTACGATCTATGAACCAAAATACAGGTATTTTGAGAATTCTTACTTTTTAATTTTTACTTATCAATTAGCATTAAATGCGCCGTATTCTTCTACTTTATGCAAACAAGAGTATTTAAACTTGTTTTGTAGAAGGTAACATAATTTTTTACCATATTTTCTATAATAATACCGTGTTGCGTGTTGTAAATTGTTTTTTAATCGCCAGGCGATACTAATTATCGCCGCACCTTAAACGATATTAATTTTTTACGACTAATGCTTTCAGTAACTATTCGCACCCGTCAGATATAATTACATGTTTTTATCGAGATATTTATGACATTGACTAGATTGTCTTTCATTTTTTCAAAGTTTTTAGTTTATAAAAACTATTTCTTACAGACTCATTAAAGTTAATTATTAGTAACTTAAATACGTTTTCTTGTAAGAAAAACTGCAGTTGAGATAAATTAAGCTAAATTGGAAATTTGAAGAATTCGTAAACTTTTTTACATAATATTGAAACTATATTACCTTTGCTATATGTACATGGCTGTATATTAAAATACATATGTAGGTCTGCAATAAACACTAAAAACTAACTCAGCAACTCTACAAAACTTTGTAGTATATTTAAATTTCTTCAAACTTTTAACTTTCTGTACTCATTTTTTATAAATTTTTACTTGATTTCATTTAAATTAAATCATGGTATACGTCGCTATGGTCAAAATATTCACATCGATTTTAAATTATTTCATGATAAGCTATCGTTTTTACAATAGAATCGTTAGAATTTACAATAGAATCGTTACAACGATATTTCAAAAACATTATGAATGTATTTAAAAGTATTTTATTAATTTATTCTTGTAGAAATATCTTCTAAACATCCTTAGGACATTCTATGTACTTTGTAACTGGGATCATCTTAGGACATTTACAGAACGTAACGGGGACGTATATGGTAGATATGGACGTTAACGGGACGTTTCCAGAACAAACAGAATGTCTTTATATTTTTTGAATTACTATTTCATGAATAAATACGTTCGAGTTTTTTTAAGATCATTCGAGAAAATCCACCGATATAAAGGGTTAAATGGTTTGCACTATAATAGTAATATATGTATAACGTATAATTGTAATGTAATATAATAGTAATAATAGCAACATAAAATATAGCTATATTACGTATTTAAACAATGATTACATTGAAACAAATTTTTCAAAGTCACCAACACTAATAAACTTTTTCCAATATATACTTACCGACAAAATTTAAGATACATGTCATACATATGCATAGATGCATATTCTTAAATGTAGAATGTTGGATGTTTTTGGGATTATGGAATGAAAATGAATATGATTCTAATACTTTGCTTAAAAGAACTTTATTTTATTCTCTTAATGAGAGAAGGTATATGAGCGAAACCGATCGAGCGATCAAACTCTACTACGTGTCCGGTAAGAAGAAACGCTTCTTTTATACTCTTTTTGGGTTCGTCGTGTCCACCAATCAGAGACGTTTTATTTGTCGCGTCTTACATTGTATACGTGACGGTCAGGGCACGATGTACATCAAAAGGTACCGGCGATGATGTATCGCGGCATCTAATATATACAGATTCCGTCACCGTCGCTGCCCGCTGACGGAGCCGGCGAAATGTAAACCGATATCTTAACTGAAGATATCTTACTAAGTAAACTATAGATTAATTTTTGTTCGAGGCTAA